TTTGTTTCCAGGTATGCCTTAAAATGTGACATCCTTTCCTTAAGTTTAGCTTTGTCCTAGGAAATAAAGCAGCATATTTAATTTAGAAAACTACTACTCTGAATGCACTGCAAAGCTGGAAAATATAAGTTGAGACCCAAGTATATTAATATCAAGTTTCATATTTCAAAACTCCACATTTATTTAACTAAAGAACATTATATCATGTTTTCACCAGTCATAAAAGAAAATTTAAACCAATGTTTTTGTTTCTGTCGTGTAGGCCCAACAAAAGAAGAGACAGACAATTGATTTCGTATGTAAATCATTCCTGCTCACTTCAGGCTAGACTTCTAAAGCAAAATGACATTTCCACACTCAGGCAAAGAGGAATCAGCTACTAGACATGCTTTATTTCAGTGATAAGTGAGAACCACAAGGGGAGCTGGCACACAGAACAGAACAGAAGTTTCTTAGAAACTGGAAAACACACAAAAAGCATCCAAATACTCCTGCAGCAGCTGACAGGTGAAAGGCACGAGCTATTAAACCCCTGCTGATCCAGCTGACTACAGGATACTTAAATGTCTCCTCATCATAAAAGTCCCATGTAAGAGAGATTTTATTTTATAACAGCTTGGTATTATATTTTTCAATATGATATATTGAGCTGGTCGAGATTCAGTATTGAGTATTGTGTTCAGTTCTGGGCCCCTCAGTTCAGGAAGGATATTGAGGTGCTGGAGCGGGTCCAGAGAAGAGCAACGAGGCTGGTGAAGGGACTCGAGCACAAGTCCTATGAGGAGAGGCTGAGGGAGCTGGGGTTGTTTAGTCTGGAGAAGAGAAGGCTCAGGGGTGACCTCATCACTCTCTATAACTCCCTGAGAGGAGGTTGTAGCCAGGTGGGGGTCGGTCTCTTCTCCCAGGCAATCAGCAGTAGGACAAGAGGGCACAGTCTTAAGCTCTGTCAGAGGAGGTTTAGGCTGGATATTAGAAAGAAGTTCTTTAAAGAGAGAGTGATCAGGCATTGGAATGGCCTGCCCAGAGGTGGAGGATTCACCGTCCCTGGAGGTTTTTAAGATGAGGCTGGATGTGGCACTGAGTGCCATGATCTGGCAATCACAGTGGGGTTGGATTGAGGGTGGGACTTGATGATCTCGGAGGTCTCTTCCAACCCAGTTAATTCTATGATTAAGCTTCCCCATTTCATCAGAAATTATTATATTTTAACTCACAGCTACAGTTCAAACTGGAAGCAAAGTAAGTGTTTTAAGTATCTTTTATGCTCTGCAATTGAAGATGTGAAAGTACTGGCATGCTAGTATTTTCCAAGTTAAAATACTTCAGGAGCTCCAAGATGAGGGCAGCTCCCACTTCCATCTCTGTACTTCACAATACAAAGAGTCTGGTTCAACTAAAATACAGACTGTGGTCCAAAACTGGATACATGCTCCGGGAATTCTTAGAAAGTATCCCATCCTCATTCACACTAAAGACAGATAAATGAAGCACAACAAACAAAAGCAATTTGAGGTTTGAGTTGTGAACCAAACTTACAGGTTTTCCCCTAGTTTGTTTCAAGAGGAAGGTGGCAAAGTGTACGTGAAGATAGAACTCCAACTTCTGAGCAACCAGGTCATTGTCCTGCACCAAAGACGAAACGTGCTCCTCCCAGAGCTGGAGGAAAACTTTCTGCTCACCACTTTCAAATGCTGCAAGCAGATCTTCCTGTGAAGGGGAGAGGCATTCAGTGAAAAAGCAAATGCAGAAGAGCTACATTTTCTCAGCAGTAGTTTAGCGAATGAAGAATTCAAGTGCCATCTGAAAATCTCAAATTAAAGGTTTTATCCAAAAATCTATCACAGTTCAATGACTGACTAAGTATTCTTTCACCAGGTATTTTTAATATTTTTGAGAGCCTGAAGCAACCCTGAGTACAAGAAGTTCTGGGAACCCAGCCTTACTGTAAGGGAAAAATAAAGGCTCAGAGCGTGTGAAAATCAGTCTTGTCAACCTATGGTAAGCTAAAAACTAAAAGCAGTGTGAATCAAAACTACTGTGCTCAAAAGGACTGAAGTTCTGAAAAAAAACCCAAACCCAAACCCAAACATGAACGTTCCTGTACTGGAAGAAAACTGCTAGAAGACTTCTTCAAATAATCAAGAATCAGTTCAGACAGTTCAGATAATCTCACTGCTGTAGTACCTCACAGGTCATTTAGTGGCCTTTAACTGTTTCTAGCATTACTCAATGTAAATGATGCATTACCTGAACAGGCAATGGATCTTCTGAGGAAACATCTGCTGGTTTAGGTAGTGGCTTCCCTTTTATTTTACATTCCTTTTTAAATACTTGCACTGTTTCTTCAAATTCTGCGAAATCCAAATACTACAAGACAAAAACACGCAGGAACAAAAATTTTTTTACATGATTAATGCTTCAAAATAAACAACCCATGAAAAGCTAAAGTTTCTGTATCGGAGGATCCATAAATGCCAAAAATTTAACACTGACAAACCAAGAACTGATACCTTGTGGTAGGAAAATACTGACCCAAACTTCCTAGAGACAACCAAGTACATCCCCTCTGAAAGAATGATGCCCCTTGGTTTAGTCAGTAATTTCATTCTACCAAAGAAGTAAATGAATTAAAATCCATTAATGCTAAATTCTGTTTGAAGAAACAAGTAAATGACCTCCTTGCAAACAATGTTCTTAGACGGCACAGCAGTCAGACAGCTTGAGCTCTTACCCAGAGCCCTCACGTGAAGCTGTGCAAGCCAATGACCAACTCATCAGGCACTGTTCTTCTAGGGAAGACATAAACAGCCCTGCGTCTTCCTCCCAAAATACACAGCCACTACATTAGACACAACATTCCTCTCCTCCCCTCACCTCAGGAGTTTTAGTCATTGGCTGCTGAGGAAAGACATCACACTTTGTTTTGCAAACTCGACATGGATTCCCAACTTTGCCATAGAGAACAAGAATTGATTTCTTCACAATAAACATAAACAATAGTACAGCAGCGATTAAGAACTTAAACCTCTTTTTAGATCTGTTTTTAGAGACCCACAAAAAGACTTGAGCTGTGCATGATTTTGCCATTTGGTTGACTCCTTGGGGAGGCAGTAACTGTCCAGGCTTTCAAGACACAGCCTGGTGACAGCTGGGCACGGTGAGAGCTGACTGCCACTCCTGCTCACCCCTCTGCAGCACCAGCACCCGTGGAACCTGCCACAGCATGGATCACACACAGAGCAGAGGGGTTCAGCTTGGGGTCCACCCAGGGCCCTAAGCAAGGCTACCAACACAGGGTTAATTAAAGGGATGAGGAAGCAACAAGCAGCAGAGATCA